CCCCATTCCTACCCCAGGTGAGCCATATAACAGAGTACATGCCTTCCTCTGGGTTTATATTGCACAGCTGAATATAAACAGCGCCCCTGCTCTCTGGCCAAACTGCATCGAAGGAGGCGCTTCCTTTGCTGTCTGTGCCCAGGAGGGAAGCGTTGAGGAGCTGTGCATGCCTGCTCCTCTTGCATTGCCCTAGGCCTTGGGCTCCCTGACCCAGAGGCCTTGACAGTAAAGACAGGCATGTCCCAGTCCTGGGCTGTTTCCTCTCAAAAGCTTTTGGATCAGTGTCTAGACTTGAGGGAGAGGCTTGGGAAAAAGAGAAGTCTCTAGATCTAGGAAGTTCTATCCCCCAGAAGGTTGCATGGCGGACTCCCTCTCGTTATTCAGTTCTTCACTGAAATGTCAGCTTTCCAGAGAGGGCTTCCCTGCCCACCCCCAGCTAAAGTAAGCCTCCTAAACCCCCCTCCCCCACCCTGCATAATAATTCCTTACCACAACACACGTTTTAATTTCTTCATCTCACCACCTTCTGAAATTACTTATCTAAGCCTTGTTTATTGTCTCCTTCTCTGATAAGATTGCTGCCTGGTGTCTGCCTGTGACAGCAGGGATCTTGTGTATCTGCTCACTCTGGCGAGCCTGGCATCTAATGGGCACATGATACCTGCCTTCCAGCTGAAGAGTCTGTGGAGCAGACCGGCTGATGCCCAGCCCTACGTCCCTGGCCACCTCTGAGCTTGCCTGCAGCGACGGTGGACACTTGTCCACATGTCAGCAGCTCCCCACCTGGAGTTCCTGACATTTTCCCTCTTCACCACTTCAGCTTCCTTTTATGTTCCTGCAGAAAATTCCTTTGTTTTCTGAGTCCAGCAGGGCCATCCACACAAGTTGTGGTGTTTATAGGATCTGGTTGTTTTGTAGCAGGGGACTCCTCAGAGTGTCTAATCTGACACATTTGTGATTATTTTTCATCTTTGAACGAAGCAGTTCCTGAACACGAGGGCCAAGCTTTGGGCTCTGATGCCCCAGCTGCCTGGTCCCCTGCTCTCATCCTCACCTTCGCCCT